GCATTATATGTGTACATGCATATATACATATATATTAAACCTATGTATATGTTAAATATTACTCTTTGTTTTCTTTAAGATGTGCTTTTCCTTTATTTTAATGAAAGAACAATTTCAAGTAGTCCAAAATACTCATTTTTATAACTTCGTTGAAATTCTACTGTTTCTTATTACTCTCATTTCTCTATGCCAAAGAACATTTTTAATTAAGGTTATATGCATCCAGAGTCATTAATAATCTGCAGATTAATTGCCATCACATGATTGTAAGATGGCTACTTTGGAAAGGTTATAAATTATGTTTAAATTCTAAATGGTAGGCCATTCAAACTGAATAAAAAAACAGTGGGAGCTGATTAGCTGAGAAAATGGAGGGAATGTGAAGGCAAGAAAATAAACAGTTAAAAAAGCAATGTTATTTAAAGGATGCTAGGTTAATTATTCCATTTTACCTATTTTGGTGAACTTATAATTATGAAAAACTTACTAGATATAAAAGTAATGAGTCAACTCAGTTGTCTTTAGAAATGTCTATATATGTGCATAGAGGTACCGTCGTGGTGTTTTATTCTAATTTTTTCGTGAAGTCTTATAGCTTACAAACTATGTTACTATCTTAAATTTAAGAATCAATGACAGTCATGCTCCACAGCTGCAAAATGACGTTTTGGTCAACGATGGACCACATATATGATGGCGGCCCCACAAGATTAGTATCATATAGCTTAGGTGTGTACTAGGCTATATCATCTAGGTTTAAGTACCCTCTATGATGTTTTGCACAATGATGAAATTGCCTAACGATGCATTTCTCAGAACATAGTCTCTTCATTATACAAGAAATAGATGTAATTTCATATTTTTTATACCATGTGTGAATAACAGAAAATAGTCAGCATTTGTTAATTAATTAGAGTCTCTTCATAAATCATAACTTGTTAAATCAAGCTTCTCTAAATGTTACCTTCTTTTTCTACCAGGTACACAATGTTAATTTTGCAATTTTGTTATAAACAATCTGTTTTAACACTTCTAGTACTAACTTCCATATTCTAAGATCAGCTTTATTTGAATACTATTAGTATGCATATCTGAAATTTGCTACTTGTGAGCCTTGATCAGAAGATCTGGTCTCTACATGGTCATAGAAGTTATACATAGAATTTCAGAGCAATGGTGACTGGATATGTTTTCTTTTTTGTATGTCCTTCTATTTCCATATAACTTCTAATTAAAGAAAAAGAATGTGATTATATACAAGCATAAAATAAAAACACAGAGCAGAAATATTTCACCTAAGAAGGCTAAAGCATCTTATCTACAAAGTTTATAAGGAACAGTGTTAAGGATAGGAATTAATATTAAGGTGCAAGTAACTAAGTCAGTTAAATGTAAAGTTCTATTTTATATACAAATACACACCGAGGGAACAAAGGGGTGTATAGATTAAAAGCACTAAAATAAAATAGGCCATTTTTTATTTTTTTGAATAATTGTAACAGAATGACATATTGACGTTATAGTTTTATTGGGATATATTTTTCTTACCATAAAATTTACCTGATAAAGGGTGCAGACAGATGAATGGCTTTTAGTATATTCACAGAAATGTGCCACTATCACCACAATCTAATTTTAGAATATTTCAACTCCCTCAGAAGAAATCTTATACATATTAGCGGTGATTCCCCATTCTCATTCTCCACTCCAACACCTCCTCCCACCCACCACCAGCTCCAGGCAAACACTAATGGACTTTTTATCTCTATGCATTTACCTATCCTGGAAATTTCACACCAATGGCATAACACAGTATGTGATCATTTGTGATTAGCTTCTTTCACTTAGTAGAATGTTTTCAAGGTTCATCTATGAAGTAGCTTTTATTGATACTTTACTCTTTTTTATGGCCAAATAAAATTCTCTTATATGCATATACTAAATTTTGTTTATCCATTGATCAGTTGATAGACATTTAGATTGTCTCTATTTTTGTCTATTTTGAATAATGCTGTTATAAATATCTGTGTACAAGTTTTTGAGTAGACATATGTTTTTACGTCTCTTGGGTACATACCTAGTAACTGAATTGCTGGGTCATATAGTAACCCCATGTTTAGCATTTTGAGGAACTGTTGAACTGTTTCGCAAAGTGTCTAAACCATTTTAAATTCCCAATAGTAATTTATAAGGTCACCAATAATTTATAAGGTTTCCCAAACTTGTTATTGTCTGTATTTTTTATTATAACCCTCCTAGTGAGTGTAGTATCTCATTGTGGTTTAGATTTGCATTTATCTGACTAATGATGTTGAACATCTGTTCATGCGCTTATTGGCCATTTATATATATATAATATATATATAATATATCTTCTCTGGAGAAAAATTCTATTTAAATAATTTCCTCATTTTTTAGTTGGGTTATTTGTCTTTCTTTGTTGTGTTGTCAGTGTTTTTTGTAAATTCTCAATATAAGTCCTTTGTTAGATAGATGATTTGCAAATATTTTCTCCTACTCTGTGGAATTTTTTTCACTTTTTTGATGGTGGCATTTTGTGCACTAAAGTTTTCAACTTCTGCGAAGTCCAAATTATCTATTTTTTCATTGCTTGTTGTTTTGGTATCATATCCAAGAAACAATTGCCTAACCCAAGGTCAGGAAGACATATTCCTATGGTTTCTTCTAGATATTTCATTGTTTTAGCACTTATATTTAGGCTTATGATCCATTTTGAGTTAATTTTTGTGGATAATGTAAAGAAGGAGTCCAACTCTATTGTTTTGCTTGTCTCAGCACTATTTGTTAATGAGACTGCTCCTTCCTCATTGAATAGTCTTGGTGCCCTTACTGAAAGTCAACTCACCATAAATGTGAAGGTTAATTTCTTGACTCTCAATTCTAATCCATTTACCTGGTTAATTTCTTGACTCTCAATTCTAATCCATTTACCTATGTGTTCATCTTTACACAAGTACTACACTGTCTTGATTATTGTATCTGTGTAGTAAGATCTGGAATCAGGAACTGTGAGTCTTTCAATTTCCTTCTTCCTTTTCAAGATTGTTTTGGCTATTCTGGATCCAGAATGACATTTTAATTATAATTCTGTTACTGAATATCTGCATATTCTTTATTAAGGACTATACTTTCTTGATCCTCATTTTCGTCATCAATAAAAATGGGAAAATATGTACTCTGGCTGCATCACAGAACATATGTGGCGATTAACTGAAATAAGGTAGGTGAAAGAAATTTTGAAATCATAGAGTACTAGATAAATATAATTGGTTTTGGCTAATATTGCTAATAATGATATATCACCATTTTTCCAAAATCTTCTAGAGCTATTATCAAATGAATGTAAACAAAAGAAAAGGCATTGAAAAATAATTGCCAAGAAGGAAGACCACATACTATTATACCAAACGAATTTCTTAATCTTTCCAGATTTTGAAGTTACCTATAAGAATATCCCACGAACTTACTGGAGGAAAATAAAATCCAGGGATATAATATATGTCATATTAAATTTTCATTATATGGAAAACAGGATTTTTTCCAAAGTAGGCAAGTAACTATCATGTGTCTGCTAACTATAATAAAACTTAGAGTGATGATCACCAATATTTTTAGGTTTTCTCACAAATTAATTGGTTATCATTTGGTTGATTCAAGTCATTGCTACTATTTACCTCTAATTTTCAGATATAGTTACATGATAGATTCAGTGAACATTTACAGATCCAGACCACATGTCTTTTCTGAAATCTGATAAATTCTCAGTTATAACAAAACAAGCTATGCACATCTACAAATAGAAGTCCATTCAGAAGGCATTGATAGAAAAATGTATCCATTGCTGACATATCAAGTCTGAGTGTCATTGCAATCAATTTCTGTGATATATACAAACACAAATATCATCACCTCTGCATCAATTTGAATGTAAAAAGTATAGTATGAATATCAGTACCAATAAAAATGTCAGTAATATTGTACTATTATTATGTACCAAGACTAGGAACATGTTTTATTATCCTCAACCACCATATGAACGGACAACATGATTATCTTCACTTTAAATATTAGAAAGCCTGAAGTTTAGAGAATATATATTATTCATCTGAAATTCACCTGACTCTAAAGTGAAGGCACTTTATTGTTATGCCAAGCCTTGTTTTAAAAGTGATAAAATAACATTTCCTAATTAATTTCCCTTTTCTCTAGACATAAATTTGTCTCCTTTATCAACCCCACCATCAGTTTTCTCCTGGACTCTGCTACCACATTTAACTATCTTATCTCTTTTGTCAATACAAAGTTTCTGTTTACAATAATATATAGCAAACTCTAATATGTAGTAAACTCTATTCTAATTCCTTGAAATCTTAGTTTGTCACATCTCTACATAAGGAGCAATCAAGAGGGTCATTTCTTAATTATGAAACCAAATGGAAATTTTTCCAGGTTCCTAAGCTTTGGTATCTTTATGCATGTGCCAGAGCTGTATATTGTAAATTTGGTTAGCCTGGAACTCTGTTTCCCGGAATTCTCCTCCCTGAATAGTTCCTGGTGAACATTAGTCTACAGAGATACTTGTAAGAGACTTGGAAAATAGAAATGAAGCAGTAGCCATTGCCTCATAAAGGTGTAGACAGATAGTTGTAAACAGATAGACAGAGAGCACATCCACTCCACATCCAGCTCTTCTCCTGATTGCTGACCCTAATGACTGACAGTGGCTCCAACCAAGCACTGGACTCTGGACCCATGGACTGCTCCTAAAGATTTATCTAGAAGGTTTGTGGCTCCACTTTTGTGGTGGTCATAGTTGGCTTCTCAGAATGAGTGCTTGGTGATTCTTTTAATCCTCCAACTTCCCTTCCGGGGCATTGCTTCTCCCTCTCTCATGATTGTGCACGATCTAATTCCTATTTTTTTTTAAAAAAAAATAGTCAGCCTGGTGGCGTAGTGGTTAAGTTCGGGAGCTCCACTTCAGCAGCCCAGGGTTCGCAGGTTCAGATCCCAGGCACAGACCTGCACATCAGTTGTCACGCCATATGCTGCGGCAGGCGTCCCGCATATAAGGTAGAGGAGGATGGGCGCGGATGCTAGCCCAAGCCCAATCTTTAAAAAAAAAAAAGAGAGAGAGAGCAAAAAATCCCTTACGAAATTACTCATAGAGGTTCTGCTTCCTTAATCGAGCCCTTTGACATACAGCATTTGACAGTGTTAACTGTCAATCAATATGTTAATTAGATAATCTCTATCCTTGGCCTATGTAACACTAAACTGTACTGTTTTTCCTTTTTGATTTTTTTCTTTGGTATCCTCTTTAGCAAGTTTTACTCTCATTAATTGCCTATATCTCTTCCTCTTTATTCCCTCTGAGTGTAATGAATCTTTGGCTTGTTGTTCATCTTTATATTTTCTTCCTCAAAGAACTCATCGATTCCCCTGGTGTCAAGTTTCAACTTTGTGTTGATGATTTTCAAATCGAAATGAGCTCCAGTTTCATATTTCAAACTCTCTTCTAAACATTATCTCTTGGATGTCCCACAATTCTAACACAATACTATGAAAGGAAGCAAATTAGCGTCCTCTCTCCTTCATTAGCACAACACTCCTTCTACCTTTTTTTTTCAATTCAAGATGTCAACTGTATCCATCAATGTATTCCATTCATCGTCTACTCCCCTTGCTAAGAATACTATAATAAACTCATAGTTTCCTTGATTCTATTTCTTCCTTTTTCTAAGCAACTCTGTATAATTTTTTAGAATATGTTCCGATAAACAAAAATTTTTATTTTACATCCTTGCTCCGAAATCTTCTTTCTTAATATATTTTATACCTACAGCTTTCCAAGTTTATATAGCAGTACTCCCAAGCACGGATCTTAGACATGGACATTGCAATGTCCTTCCTGAACTTGACATTCATTCCTACCTTTCAATATTTATTCATGCTGCTTCCCTCTACCAAAATTCCTTTATTTTTCTCTATTAGTATTTCATTCTTTCTTCATTCACCACAATTTTTTCTACTATAGCTTTACCATTGCAGAATTTTTAAAAATATTTTATTTTCTTATTTTTTTCATATTTGACTATATTTAATTGGCAAATACTGCTTTTTGGTGTCGTTTAAAGAAGAGCTTATAGATTTTTCATTTCTGAGTGTTTTCAAATTTGAGAATGTTTGTCTTTTCATTTGAATGATAATTTTTAAGGCATAGCTTTCTTGGACTTTTTGTGTCTTTAGAAATTTGTTGTCTTTTCTATTGTTTTTTGTAATTGGGTTTCTACAAAGAAACCTAGAGAAATCAAGTGTCTAGCTTACTTTTTTTCTTTCTTTCTTTTTTCCCTCTGGATGTCTGTCAATTTTTTTGTTTGTGTTTGGTAAAATCTTAGCAATCATATATTCTGGTGTTTAGAACTTTGCTTTGAATTTCGGAAATGCAGGAAGAGCTCTCTATTGTCACCTACAGTACACTCTTCATTATATTATCAATGATTTGCTTTTGATTTTGAGGATTTGTTACATACTTTAGGCCAAGGAGATATTTATTTAGTTAGGACTGTGTGTATCCTGTTCCAACATGCATTTCATGTCTCTGGATTTATAATGTAAGTCAATGAATGGTACTGGAGCTTTGACTTACAGGAGAGTTGTCCCACTCATTCACTTTCCATGTTGCACCAGTTTCTTCCACACAGCTGTTTCTTCAACTGCCTGAGGATATCCATGAAGATTATTGATTTTCAGATTTGAGGCTCTTGATGAGAATTTTGTTCTACACACCAATGTAGCTTCTAGCTATGGGAATATGATTAGGGGCCTTTTCGCAGTGTTAATATTGTCCCATTTCATTTCTCTCTCTCTCTATCTCTCAGTTACCATCACTAGCTAAAGTTGATGTGACCCTTTCTTTGTTTAGGTACTAGTGGTGAAAAAACGTGTGTGTGTGCATGTGCACATGCACATGTGTGTATGTGTTTTAGTTCATTAAGTTTCAAATTAGTGCAATTTGATTCTGTAGTTTTCTTCTTTTATCTTAAATAAGAATATTCATACATAATGTTAATCATTATTGGCTGTATCTTAAAGTGTTTTCCAAGTATGCATGTGTATACAGTATTTTACTTAGCTCATTTGTTGATGCCAGTCATACACAACTACCTAAAGAGATGTAGCTGTTATACTTTAGGTTATCATGCAACATTTAATTGAGTTTGAAATGGTTTATTTTTTCTCTCAGAAGAGGCTATGTTATATTTTGGTAACAAGAAACACCAGAACCTCAGTGGTTTTACAACCAAAGTTTCTTTCTTGCTCATGCTATGCCATGTCAAGTTTGAGTGACTCTCCAGGAAAGCTGACTTCCATTTTACGGCAGCTCTGGACTGCTTTAACCTTGTGGCCACTTGCTATCAAGATGTTCTACCATGACCAGCACAAAAGGGAGAGAGGGAAGGCTGTAACTTGTAGGCAGATTCCATTGCCCAAAGGAAAATATGTGGCAATACTTACTTCCAGAGTATCGAAACATGTAATACTGCCTTGTGCCCAGGAGGAGAGGGGGATGTGAATTATTGGTGTGTGGCATTAAATACAGCATACACAAAATAACTAAATTTTAAAATGTATTCACATTATTTTCATCTTATAACTTGGACAACAAAGAAAATGCAATAGGATTATAAAACTTTTGAATATACACCATTACTCCAAAGACAGAGAATGAGGCCATTCAGACTTCTTTCCAATACATTTTCTTTGTAAACATGGAAGTTTAAAGTATTGACTTTATTATTTTGTTACCCCTAAAAATGATAACACATTGTTCTCAAATGAAAACTGACCAGAAGAAGTTACCTTATTAAAAAACTGACTAATATTGTTTCATTAAATATTTTCTCAAATTTGCTTTATTTAGGATAATGAAGGTCAATGGATGCTATAGATATAATTGTTTTTTCCAGTTTCGAAAAGTTAGCCTGCTCTTAGTTAATAAATCACAAAGGAAAGTATAAGGCATGTTTTAGAAAGTACTTAAGTGCTGAGCAAAACCTTAAAGATCTATAATTTGGCTGTCTATTAATTATAAAAGAAAAAACCTGAGAAAATCTGTCAAAATTATAAGTAAATTGAATAAAAAAAATAAACAGTAATTTGTCAAGGAGAAATGCATGTTTTATTAAAAAATTGTAAATTTGTGTATGTGTATGTCCTTTGGGTTTAATGACATGGTGCTCAAACATAAATTGATGGTTTAAGCACCACATTAAGAAAGAGACTAGAAGTAGAAAGATAAGAGGAAGAGGAGGGAAAAAAGAGAAGCGAAGATAATCTCTGAGGTTGCAGGGTATGCCAGATGTCATTTTCAGTGCTGTCTTTGAATACTATATCATGTTTGGTTTTCTTTGTTTTAGAAAATGTCATGTACCATGAGCTGCAGCTTTGCTCTGGTTTTACTGCCTGTCATAGTCACAGTTGACACAGCCAGTCTTTTTACCACCATTCTGAGTTCAACTATACTGCTGACTTCCTCACAGAGTGTGGAAAATTTATTGCAAGGCAAGGCACACTTTATGCTTACAGCTTTTGCAGCAATGCTGGTAATAATATACTGACATAACCCCAAGCAACTGCTATATGTGACAGAGGAGAGTAAATTCCTAAAGCACAATATATCCCATATTGTATGTGAGAATGGGGTTTCGTAAACAGCCCTCTATTGCTATTGTAAAATCCTCCTTTTGCAGCCATAATTTCCAATGCTTATATTATTTATCATTTATTCATTTTAACAAGGAATCAAACAAAAATTTTGTGTATGTATAATTTAGAATGTATATCCAGATGTTAAGACATAATTAGAGTAAAAAGGTCTTCCAAGGTGTGGGACTCACATGGTGAATGGAAATGTATATTTCAGTTTTCAATTTTAAGAAAAAAAACTTTTACTTTAATAGAAGGGAGTGAAACTTCTTTTTTAATTTTAATATTTTTGAGTCTTTTATTAACAAAGACAAAGGTAGTTTAAAGTTTCTTCCACATGCAGCAAGGGGTGGTATTCAAAAGTACAAGGTTTTCAATCAGACTCATGTTTAAATCCCATCTCTAAAATTTACTACCTGTATAACCTTGAGCCAGTTCCTCATTAGCTTTGTACTAAATTCTTTAATCAGTAAAATGGAAAAAATAATAATACCTATTCCCTAGAGTTGTGGCAAGAATTAAAAGAATTAATATGCATAAGATAATTGAATGCATGTCATGTAGTAAATGCCAACTAAGCTTAGCTATTATTATTAGAAGAGTTTGTCTAATCTCTTCTTTTAATGCCCTGTAAAGTCCAACCCTATATTTCCTATTCAAAGGCGTTTGAGTCAAAGTCCCTCATTCTGGCACTTATTCTCTGTGACTTGAAAACTATTAGTTCTTGACCATTAAAGAATTGAACTACTTTTGGGATGTTTGAGGTCAGTCCCAAACTCATCTGCTATGTTGTACTCCACCTCACTAAGAAAAGGAAAGCACCATCTCCGTTTCTTCCATTTACGATTCAGTATCTTAATCTCACCATCTGACTGTCATGATCTATTCAGCCCCGGCTCATCGACCACTGATGCTCATTCCTATCTCTTCTGCTATGACATCTGGAAACTTAATGACATTATTAATAAAGTAGTCTAAACCTTCAACAATTTTGCAGAAGGCATTCTCCACTTTATGGATGTAACTGAAACTTAATCACCTGAAAACTGACTATTCACATATCCCTCTTCTATGTTGGCTTCTCCTTCTCCAGCAGATCCTAACCTAAATTCACTCCTTAATCTGGCACATGGAGGTATCAGTGGTATGCTCCCTATCTTCCTCTCCAGCCTCATCCTTACCAAAACCTGCCTCATGAATTATGTGTTATCATCAAAACATGGCTTCAAGTTTTCCGCAGATGCTATCACTTCATTCAATTATTCACCCATCTATGCAGGACCTCATTCATCACACATTAGTTGAATATCCATGTTGTAGTTGGCAGTACGGAAGATGTCAGCTATTTTGCCATAAACAAAGACAGATTCTTACCCTGAACTCATGTTGCTCCTAAGGAGTGCTGTTTCAAACTTCAATTCCTTATGCTGTCTTCTTTCACAGAGAAAAATTATAAATGTCTTTCAAAATTTAGCTGAGAAAATAATTCAATCAGGAAACTTTTTCTCACACTTTTCTACCCATAACCTGTGATAGATACCCCTACTCTTTATGGGAAGACCATGTTCCCCTATATGCCTATTACTATATTTATCAAATTATATTGAATTATTTACTTCCAGAGTAAAGATTTCTTGCAGGTAAGGATCGTATTCATATTCATATTTCCAACTCTTAGCATAATGGGTGATATGCAGTAGAAACTCAATAATTGATTGAGACCAAATTGTATATATCACTTAAGGAGAGATCTAATGCTCCTTTTGTCATAAAGATCCATTTAGACTGAAGAATCTCATATTTGACTCCCTTCTGCATCTATCACACTGTCAAATTCTGTAGTTCTATACTCAATGAGTCTTGAATAAGTAAATATTAGTCTTATTTTTCAAGCACAATTAAAAGCTTATAACAGAAGATCAGTATAAGATAGAGATTTGTCATTATTTGGTATTCCCTAATGGTCTATATCCGTTCTGGAAACAAAATAGGTACTGCATAAATATTTGATATCTCTCTGTATAAAAATATAAAATGCAAGGCCTTACATCTGATGCTTTGCAAATTTCAAATTAAAAATATTTGAAGGTACTTTTATTAAAGATGACTATTGATAGCCATAAGGGAAACTGGCTTGTTTGACTAAGGTAAAATACAAAGTTAGGGTTCAGAGTGCCTAAAGTTTTTTCAATTTGACAATGTATGGTTCTGATCTAAAATTATCATCTGAAATCCGAAAATTAAAATAAAATCATGGTTTAATTTAGAGTTAAATCTTATTCTGATATGGAACAACATGCTAATTTGTCTTTGAGATTCCTATGTAAGTGATAGCTATGTTAGGGTCTTTCTATAATGTTATGTTACCATTTCTTTTAATTATAAATCTTTATTTTCAAAATTTATGAAAGCTATAGTTTCTGTCCTTTGGTGAAATATGTGCCTACAGTGTTTTCTTGACAAACAAATGGTTTTATAGTGAGAGGTTCACTGTAGTGTGTCTTTATATTTCACATCCGTTCATAAACATAGCCACTCTAGTAATAAAGAAGAGAGGATAGTGCTGAAGTTGACACAGGCAGGGTGAGCAAAAGATAGTTCGGGAGCTTATAAAGGGAAGCTATTTTAGGAGATGGTCACAAAATATGGAGAAAATTAGAATGATATAAAATGTTAATAGTTCTTTAATCGAATATGCGATTATATGATTATTTCCATTTGTTGACTCTTTTATTTGTCCAATCCATCAGAGAAGAAAAGTGCTTGGTTTTTTATTTAAACACACCACAAGAAGATCAGACCAAGAGGGCCTTACAGCTCCCCAAAGCTTGACTAAACTTTTGGCAGGATTTGTCTTGACTATCAGCCCCTGATCTTGCTTTTCATAGAGCAATTGCTTTAGAAAACTTGCGACTATAAATTCTTTCTCTGTCCTTTTGAGATGTAAATCTTCTGCAATCCATAAATGTCTTTCTCAAGGACCTGGGAAATGTAATTATCAAGAAAGACAGGGTATATATACAGATACTATCTGTATAGTATATACAGATGTCAAATTACAGTGTTGTACACCTGAAACTTATATAATGTTATAAACCAATTTTACTTCAATAAAAAGGAGAGAAAGACAGGGTCCCCATCTCCCAGGTTCTGTGGGATGGTAGGAGCCTAACTTCAAAAAGTGACAATCAGCAAACATAGATGGCCTAAGCACATTGACTACCCTCCACCTAATTATCCTTCAGTACACTTCCATTATCTCACTCCACATTTTAAAAATCACTCCAGGGCTGACCCAGGGGCATAGCAGCTAATTTTGCGTGCTCTGCTTTGGCGGCCCTGGGTTTGCCAGTTAAAATCCAGCACAGTTCATCAAGCCATGCTGAGGTGGCATCCCACATAGAGCAACTAGAAGGATGTACAACTATGACATAAAACTATCTACTGGGGCTTTGGGGAGAACAAAGGAAAAAAGGAGGAAGATTAGCAACAGATGTTACCTCAGGGCCAATCTTCCTCAAAATAAATAAATAAGTAAGTAAATTGCTTCAGTTCTTTAAAAAATTAAAATAAAATAAAAAATAAAAATCACTTCACCTTTTGTTCAGTGGAGATAGATTAAATCTCTCTCCCTGATTGTGATAGTCTTGAATAAGGTCTTCCTTGCCTGTTTAACTAGTCTGATGTAATCTTTCTTTTAGAGGTTTTAGGAGGCGCAGGAGTCCAAGAAATGTATAAAATTCTGTCACCATTCCTGCTCTTTTTCTCGCTTGTATTATCTTACTTTATATTTTCCTAATTTGGGATGATTAGTATTCATATTGTCTAATTTCAGTTTCAAGTAAAATATATGGAACAATTTTTTTTTTTACCTCATCATTATTTTAAACCAAGTTCTTTTTTTAAAAAAATTTTTTTTGATCTTTAAATAAGGTTATGGGAAGTGTAAGTTTATCAGGAAACACATATGAGTACCTGCCTGAAGGCAGTTTAAATGAGGAAAGCAATTTGAGTTCCTCAGACTTGACCTAAAATGTGTTGCATAAAATACAAAATAGTTAACCCACTTAGAAATGAACTCACTCAAATGCTGAATCTGAGAGGTCTGAGCCTGGAAGTGTACTTAAGGTGAGGCCTGGCCCCAGAGACAGATCTTGGACAGAGAGTTGCCAACCAAACCCAAGGTCTGCTCTAGGCTAAATTGTGAAGTGACAGAGGTAGACTTCAGGCTCTCTTATTTCAAAATTATTCCCTTACCTCCTCCTGTGATTCCTGACTGCAGCCTTTATGTCCGGATCTCTCACACAAATACCTTAACTGAACTTACCTCCTCATGAAGTCACCACTCTGTATTCACCAAGCCTCATTACTCTAGACCAAGACTTTCCTATTCTATATTCCATTCCTTCCTGATTCTGCTCACTGAGGTGTCAATCTGATGAGTTACATGAACAAGTGAGCAAATTAAGTTGCTGTTACTGGTACCGTATTTGTGTTTTAATAGGAACCTCTGGAGAGAGAGACTTAATCCTTAGGTAACCATACCTTACATATTGATTTTCTGAGTATCGTTAATAGTCCCAATTATGCCAGTATAATTATTCATAATATGCGTTTGTACTCTCAAAAATGCCCCAGTTTGGACATAAATGTAAATGGTCACCTTATGTACTCCAAAAAATATCTCTAATGATGGAAGTTTCAGATATAAAGGCAAATTGTTGTGAGAAGCAAGACTGCCAGATTCTGGAGCCTTAAAAATCATAACATGAGGCAAATTTTCTAGGGTTGCTCACATCTACATGATTTATGGTCCTGGTGAATCCAATATTTAGGCGGTTAATTGTCTTAAAGTTATCAGGCACTAGGCAGCATTACTTATTACCTGAGATGGCTGTCCAGGCAGCAGATTTGAGAGACTTGCCACGCATACTCAGAAATTCCAAATATGTTGAGGAAGATAAAAGTTAAAATCTGGACAAGCAAGCAGAAAAACTTCACTAAATAATAATTGTAATTTTATTTTTATAATTCCAGGCATTGTTCTAAATATGTTACTAATATTAACTCATTTAATCACAGCAACAACTCTATGAGTTTGATACTACTATTCTACCCATTTTATAGGTGAGAAAACTGAAGCAAAGAGAGATTATATACTTACCCAAGTAATTGAGAAACAGTGAAACTGGACTACAAACAGATAATTTTTTTCTTCTAAATTTGCATGATCTAAAACATAATTCTGGACTTCCTCTCAGGAAAGGAAGAGGGAGATGGAGAAAGACAGAGAGAGGGAGAGGGAGAGAGAGAGAGACTCTTCTGCTGATTCAGATATTGGGCCTGTGCATGACTCTGCATCTCCTGAAATCCATTTGGTTTATGTGCTGCCTCTCTTCCACCACTAAGATCTATCAGTCTATTCTACTCTTGAACTGTCTTCTCCCATACCCCACTCAACTCGAGTTTCCATCTTATCTTGTTCTCAGCCTTCAGAGAAGGATGTCAGACTGTCAATTCTTTCATGTTCTACTGTTGGATGAGACACACTGATTCAAGATCCTAAGGAGGAAGGAAGAGAGAGGAGGTCATCATAAGGCTATGGTCTCATAGAAGACTATTAGATGGTGATGAGTGCATGCCAGTTATCACTACTTCTATACATTATTTTAATAAGAATTTTATCAGCTTCTCTGCTGTGAGTCGCATTTTCAAAGCCCTTTTCTATATATCTATCTTGAGAATCTGGAGGCTTTGGGGAAGGAATGATGTTTGCATGGGGCTGGGGGCTGGTATGTAAGAATCCACATGATGAGAGGCAAAGACACTCAGAGTAACCATTTGCCAAATGTAAACCATTAGAAACCACCTCACGAATTCAACTGTTTCTGTTGAGTCAAGATTTAGTAATCTGTATCTTCCTATAGAACGAGTGATCTTGTCTCATGTAGCCATTCCTCTTTGGTCCTTCTATTATATTTTTTAGTGTATATTAATAATCCATTCTATTAGTATACTACCAGGATATATCTGGATCTGTATAAGATAATGCAAATGCTGTATGAACAAACAAATGCAAATGTTCTATGAACAAACTGAAATCAAGGAAAATTCAAGGTACAATATTCCTAAGAACATATTTCTATAAATCACACATTAGTGGCCTATATTTCTCTAATTTGACATAGTTATAAAAATAGATATGTCACATCATTTATTGGCATCCTTGCTCTTTAATCTACCAAAACGCAAACTGTAAAGGCAGAGAATTTTTGCCCTCTTGCACCTAATTACATCTGACACCAAATTTCCAGCCAAATGAATCATCACTGGCACGGCATGTAACTGCTTCTAAAGTTGTCAGGTTCTCCAAGATGCCATGGGGCTGCCGAGAAAGTTTCAAGGCAAGGCCCATTAGAGGGAGGGTCACCTACTGAAGGATGAAAGTGATTTGAAGTCTCTCTATCTTAAAAAGTAGAAAAATGATGAGATCTAGAACAATGAGGTTAAAAATATAAATAGTCCAAGAAATCCATAAGGAAACAACATTAAGCCACAAGGAAAGGAATTATAAATATATAGACCAAAAACAAACATAAAAATCCTTTTGATGACATTTTTGACAACTTTCTATATTTTAAAAAATATTTGTGTTAAAAAAAATTAGACTGTAGAAATATAATCTAATCCAATAACAATATAGTTTTATTGATCAGTGAATAACAAAAAGAAATTAATTAGAAATTGAATTTTTTAGCCTTTGAATTTTAAGCTCATCATAAAAAAATTTTGAATGGGGTTCAGGGCAGAGACAGTAAAGTAGAGTTAGAAATTCAGGCTCTGAAAATGTGACAGACTGGGGTTTGAATTCTAGTTCCTTCACTTACTAGCTAGTTAAACACTAATTTTTGTATTTTTAGACTAGAGTGAATAATAAGTCCTCTTTCACAGGGTCTTTGCAAGGGTTAAATAACATACTACATGCAAACAAGAGCGATATAGGTAATATTGTTCTTCTTATTATAATACAGCATTTGTTTTAATGAATAATTTTAAAGTATTAACCAAGTAATATTGTTGTTGCTATAAAAATATTTAGGCTTAAAGAACATTGTCATTCACTCAGCCTCAAAAGAGTAATTTGTTCTTTGTGTTCCCATCAATTTTTCCTGCCTCTCTTGGATACATCATATCTTTATCACATTGTCGTAGTTTCATATTGATTTTATATTAGTCCTCACCAAAACTTTATAAATAATTTTTAAACCTGTCTCCCTGACCAACCCCCATGCCCATCTTTCATCACTAACAATTTATCCTGCAGTTTCCTAAAATGATAATTGTATTGCTTTTGACTAACAGATATCTTTGGTTTACGACTGTGTAAATTGTGCTAGCATTTACTATACAACTATTAGTGGCATATACCCAACTTTTTGGTAGATATTAAATATGTTATCTCAATTTAATTCTCAGAACAACCTGATGAGTTTCATAATGTTCTCTCCAATTACAGATGATAATACTCAATTTGCAGGTGAGACCACGGCAACGAGGGCCACCGAAATCTGTTTCAACCACTGATTATTCCAGATCTTCTTGCCACTGATTCCTTCCTTCTTTTTTCCCCAAAGAAAGTACTTGCTCTAGCCGTATCTTGCATCTCCTAGAATCTCTTATGGTCTTTCACATTTTTGTGTCTTTGAACATCAGATTCCTTCTGCTCAGAGTGACCATCTCTAATATCTCTCTTTGGAAGATTTCACCTTGCGTTAGAAGAGCCAGAAGAGTTCTCAATTCATTGTATAATGTACATATCTTTACTGTAGCATATATGCAGTGTGTGTGTGTGTGTGTGTCTATATCTGTGTGCAGTCTGTTTGTTTTTTATTTTTCTAGTCCACTAGACTAAAATTTCTTCAAATATAGTCATATAGTTAAGGGTCTTTATTTTCACCTATTTTTTATTTTTTGTTCACAGTTCCTAGCACAGTCTCAGGCACACTATAGGTGCTCAAAAATGCCTGCTTTAATCAGTGAGCAAACGCGTAACACTTTGTGTGATGTTGATGTTTGGTATTATGAAGTCAAAATACTATGCAAATTATTGCCACTGGAAAAGATCAGTGTATTTGCATCTAGCCATTGTTATGCAGTAACTGCAGTTCTTATTTGATATTTTAAATATTATGTTTACATGATCTGACCTGTAACAATAAAGAGAATAATTCAGAACTGTGTTTTCTGAATTGATATTTTAAATTTGACTTTAACCACAAACAAGTAACAAATCTTAAAATAAAAGTTTTTTGTAATAGATTCCAAGTCTCTTTTTCATAACATTACATTTTTGGCAGCTGATCTTTATGAAATAAAAATGATGTGAATCTAATAATAAAATGTAAGCTAGCCAACTCTATTTCCTACAGAATACTCTATAAAATAAATTATCATAAACCAAACTCTTCTAGACAGTAATGATGGATAGTTCCAATTTATCTTATTTCATGAATAAAAATA